GAAATCCACGCACTTTACCCTTTTTAAGAAAAACTGGATAAATTATGTTTACTGCATTGAAGTCTATGAGGGAGAGAATAGTTTAAAAGTATTATATTTTAGGGCATTATGTTTATCATAAGAGTATGGAATGAGGGTTGCAGAGTGGATTATATTTGAAGTGGGGTTGGGGGGTGTGCGGGACGAATTATGTACCAATGAAGGAGTTTTTCTTTTGCTTTTCAAGGAGAAAAGCAAACGGGGGGTGGGGGTGGGGTGGGCAGGGAGAAAAGTGCAACAATGAATGAATGGAATTCCAAAATCTCTGTAGATGTTCATTGACATGGAAGGAAGGAAGGAAGGAAGGAAGGGAGGGAGGGAGGGAGGGAAAGATAAAAAATTTAAAGGAAAGAAAAATAACCCAGAATTATAAATTCAATATTAGGTGAAAGTGATTCTTCTTCTTTTCACCCATCTTCCTCCCACCCCTGGTAATCCTCTTGGTTTTGTAACAGTGTCTTTATACCACACTTGGCCCTTTGTGACTGAGTGACTTCACTCGGCATAATGTGCTTTCATTCATGCTGTGTAGTGTTTCTTGAGATCTCAATTGCTTTTCAGTGCTGTATAATACTCCATTGTGTGGATAAACCATGGTTTACCTACCCATCTGTTTATTGCTGGACACGTGGGCTGCTTCCCATTCTTTGCTGTTGTGAGTAATGCCGCAGTAAACATGGATGTCCATGTCCATTTGTGTTTTATCTCTGTTTTCTTTGGGGTAGATTCCTAGTAGTGGGCTAGCTGGGTCAAATGGAGTTTCTGTTTTCAGTCTTCTGAGAAGTGCCTTCCATAGTGGCTGCACCATATCACAGCAGTGCATGAGAGCTCCAGCCTCTCCCCATCCTCACCAGCATTGTTATCTGGTGTTAGGTTAAACTTCGCTATTGTTTCTGGGTGAACGTGATTCTTGAGCTGGATAAAAGAAACAGTCACAAATTGTAGCAAACTGTACAACAAATTATAAGCTGACTCATCAAAAACATTTCTAAAATGCAGAAACATGACATTTTTGTCAACTGTTGGCTGTACTTTCACTTTGGAAACTCCTCCCCTCCTGGTAGTTGTGTTTTAGCCTGCAAACTTTTTGATCATCTTTCTATGATGTTTCCTGTAGAGAGAATAGAAGTATTTATTATTATTATTTAATAGATTACCACTATTCCGTCTATTTTTTGCCAGCGTATTTCTCCAGTCTTCACATTATCTCACAGCACTGTGCACAGTGGGGGGCTGCTGGCACCATAGGCTTAGCACTGGGCTGCTTGTAGAAAGGTCAGCAGTTCGAACACACCAGCCTCTGAGGTAGGAAGATATGGCCTTGGAAACCTAACAGTGTCATGCTTCTGTGTCCTGTAGGTGGCCAGTGTGGATGGAAGGGTACCCAGCACACCCTGGCTTTTGTCCCAGAGGGTGGGGCTCAGTGGACAGTAGTGTGTCCTTGGATGCCCTTGGCCACTAGGATAGACAGATTAGATTAACCTAACCAGATGCAGAAGTGATTTTAAAGCACATAAACATGTCTCATTAAATCCAAATGAAGTGACACTCCCCATTCCCGTTTTTACCACCCACTTAGCTAAGTTCCAAAGCTCCTGCAGCCATCAGTGTGACAGAGGGAAAGAGACAGTGGCCTCAACTAATTACAGTTTAAATATCTTACGTCAGCAAATTCTCCAAAAGCTTCTGACAGCTGGCAGCTTTGCCAGGGCCCTCCCAGGGCAAGTGGAAGGTGCTGAGCTGAGCTGTGGGCCTTCTCTGTAAGCCCTTCTCCACACTGGGTGATGCTGCGGGTGGGAGTCAGGGTCACCCCCACCCCCAAGAGTGCCTGCACCCTGCAGCTCCAGCCTAACCTCCAAACTCAGGAACGTCACTGACAGCCCAGGGCGGGAGGTGGGACTGCCCTGCCGGCTCAGCGAGGAGACACGTGGCAGTGCATGGACATGTGTGTGCATGCGAGTTTGCACATGTGTGTGCATGTGCATCCTGGGAGGGGCTAGGGGTCAGTGCCCCAGCCAATTTGGCAGGTCAGTGGTTTCCTTTTAAATTGCAGGCTTTTGCTCTGGATTCCGGCTGAGTGGGCCGTGATGGGCCAGAGGCGGGGCTGGGATAGACCATCTGTAGGGTAAGAGCAGTGTTCTTTTTATTTCATGTATTTATTTTTAATTTGTTATTGTGATTTGAGGGAAAGTTTACAAAACAGATTGGCTTTCTGTTCAACCATTCACATACATTTTACTTTATAACATAAATTATAGTGCCCATAAGGCAATTGCCCTTTCTCCACTTCCTCCTTGTAATTTTGATTTCCATTATTCATTCTGCTGCTCCTTCCTGCCTTCTGGCCTTCGTCCTGGGACACGTGGTGCTCTTTGACCCGTGCAGTTGGTTTTTGTAAGGAGTGGATGCCTCGTGGGACTAGTGGCCACCACACAGGCCCGTGGATCCTTTGACTGAAAGTTGGGCCCTGGGATGCACATTCAAACAGACCTTGTTTTTCTACTTTTTAAATTTTTTACCCATCTTGGATCTATAGTTTTATAAGATAAGATTATTTTAGTATCTTTTTGTGCATGTACCATCAAATCAGATCTGAAATGTACAGGAGGAGATTGTCCCTCCTGCTCCAGCAAAATGTCTGGTGGATTCGAACCTCACGCCTCTAGGGTTGCAGTGCAGCTTCTTGCTACTAGGCCACCAGAGCTCCCTTATAAGATTTTTTTTTTTTAATGAGATGCTACAAAAATAAAATCAATTAAAAGAATCAAGTCCCAATTTTTAGTATATTGATTCAGCAGCCCTGTATTAGGGAGAAAAAGACTCCAGACTATAACCTAATCTTAGAGCCCCCTCCCGTCCCGCCAGCTCCGACTCCTCACAACTTTATGTTGTTTCTGTGTGCCATTGAGTAAGCGACTCTCGACTCTCGGCTGACGCACCAGCGGATTTGCAGAGGTGGCAGATCACGCTGAAGTCGACGGCTCATCTTTCTCCTCTGGAGCAGCCGGAGGGGCGGGGGGATTCAGACCACGCCCCTGTGGATTGACAGTGCGTCACTCATGTCTAAGCCACCAGAGTCCCTCCCAGCAGCCGTGTTATTGCTGTTCTGTACCATCAAGTCAGAACCAGTTTTTAGCTGACCCTCTCGTGGGTTTCCCCAGGCAGTTAATCACACTGGAGGAGATTGCACGTCTTTTCTCCTGTGGAGCAGCTGGGAGGTTTAAACCCTTCGGGTTGGCAGGGTATACAACTGCCCCATGGCACCACTGAGACTGCATGGAAGCAGACAAGCTCTGTCTTTTTCTGAAAGAGTAGCTTGTAAATTCGAACTGCCAGACTTTGAGTTAGGAACCCCGTGCTTAACCTAGAGCACCACACAGTTTGTTCCTCATATTCTGTGCCCCAAAAAGCAAACCCATGATCGATAGTGACTCATGACTGTCCTCACTGCGATTCCCAGGCTGTAAATCTTAATGAGAGGAGACAGTCCCATCTTACTCCCGGGGAGCAATAGTGTTCAAACCTCCACGTTTTAGGGGGCAGATCAGCAAATCCATCTGCACAAGGCTGACAGAAACCGCTGAGCCACAAGCATGGAGCTTCTCCCCTAGGATGAGTTGTTGTGTTGTTCTTGTTGTGTGCCATCAGAAACCACTCATAGCCGATCCTCCAGTGGGTTTCCAAGGCTGTAATTCACATGGGAGGAGACTGCCTGTCTTTCTCCCATGGAGCAGCTGGTGGTTTTGAACCATGTGCCTTTGGGTTGGCCGTGTAACTCCTCACCACTAAGCCCCCAGAGCTCCCTGTGCTTAGAGGACAAGAGATCACTGCCAGATGCTGGTGGCCCAAACAGCACTGTTGCAGTCTCAGCTGCTAACTGTGAGGTTGGTGGTTCAAACCCACCACAGTTCTGTAGGAGGAAGATGTGGCGGTCTGCTTCTTTAAATTGAACAGTCTTGGCAACTGTGGGCCTGTTCTAGCCTGTCCTGTGGGGCAGAGTTGGGATTGACTTCACCTTAGGTTTGGCTTCAAGTACAAGAACAACCTTAAACACCAAGATGCTTCTAGCGCTCTCCCCAGTCACACCGCGCCTCTCTGGGTCTCTCAGACACTCCGGCCAGCTTAGTTCTTTTTCCTCCAGTGACCAGAGTCACCTTTCATGTGTTTTGGCTTGGGGTGACAGCCAGGGTTGAAAGAAATGGTCAGGCATGGGAGAAAGCTCTTCTGGGGAAAGCTTGCCTGTGGTGGGGGCCTGGGGTGGGAGAGACAGGGAAAGGTACCTCTTTTTCATGCTTCTTCATCATAGTCTTAAATCTACACATATGATAGGCATTTCAGCCAAACAGCAACAGCCTCCCTTCGGCTGTGCTGTTTGCTGCAACGGTGCGCTGTGCTGGGTCGGGGCTGAGGAGGACCACTGTCAGGATGCTGACGTGTCAGTCACCCTCAGGTGCTTGCTTTGGGGAACAGCTGGTCAGAGGGGAAGCGAGGCGCCATGCGCTGTGGTGGACGAAGGAAGGGTAGAGACGCCCCGTAGAGGAGCTGGCTTTACCAGATCCCCAGGCCTGAGCCGAGTGGGTTTTGTGTCCAGAACTGGGAGGATGTTTGTAACCTGGCCCAGCCCGGGGCACTGGGCCTGCCCCTCCTTCAGCATTCCTAAGATTTCTGAGCAGGTTGTTGACCCATCTCTGAGGAACACTGTTGGCACAATGGATTATGCACTGGGCTGCTAGCTGGAAGGTCAGGGGTTTGAATCCACCAGCGCTCAGCGGGAGAGAGACAAGGAAGCCTGCTTCTGAAGGCGTGTGGCTTGGAAAGAAGCCCTGTTGAGTCCTGGGCGCTCTGAGTTTGGGTAGATTTCACAGCAGTGGGTTAGGTCTTGGATAACTGTCTCCCTGTCCAGGCAGATACAGCGCGGAGCAGTCTGTTCTTATCTGTCTCCTCTCTGCTTTTGCTCCCAGGGCAGGAAGATCCGAACAGTTTGCGGCACAAATACAACTTCATCGCCGACGTGGTGGAGAAGATCGCTCCGGCCGTGGTTCACATCGAATTGTTTCGCAAGTAAAAGCGAGCCCCCCTTTCCCCGTGACCTCGAGCTGCGCTCAGCACCCGTGAACACAGCGCTAGGCTGATCTGGGAGACGCCGGAGAGCGTCCACCTGCCACAAAGTCTATTCCTGCAGGAAAAGCAGCCTTTCCGCCTTAGGATGTTTCCCTGGTTGATCTGTTTAAGATGTCTTAGTGAAAACACACCAGACTTACACACCACTAGAAATTAAAACAGAGTTTTATTGAAGGATATGAAAACAAAACATTTCAAAAAATAAGAATTGAAGGGGAGGAAGGGACAGAAGGAGGGAGAGAGGGAGGGTAAGACGGGGAATGTTTTATCAGCTGAAACTAATCATAGGACTGTGCTTCAGCAGCCACAAGGAGCCCTGGTGGCATAGTGTGTAACACGTTGGGCTGCTAACTGAAAGGTTGACAGTTTGAATTCACCAGCCACCCCAAAGGGAAAAGATAAGGCAGTCTTCTCCCTTAAAGACTTATACAGCCTTGGAGACCTGTGGGAGGGAGGGTCAGAATGAACCCCAGGGCAGTTCAAGTTGAGCTTTGGCTTAGCAGGCACAGATGGGATGGGGAGGAAACTTGGCAAAAAGTTGCAAGAGTTTGTTAAACTGTAAACCTTTGGACCTCCTTCCTCCTGAGGAGTGTTACATTCTGAGGTTGGCTACATCTTGGTTTGTGTTTTGCCAGTGGTCCTGGATCATTAAGTCACCTGTCTGTCACAGTTGCTGACCGCCTTTCCCTTCTGGGAAGGTAACAAGCTTTTGCTTTGAGAGTTTACAGAGTCAGCAGAAAGGAAGCCAACCTCTCAGGGAGTGGAGTCTAATCCAGGAGTCGGGAAGTTCCAGCCCAGGCTTGGCCGATCCAGCTTCTCCTTTGTAACAGAGTTAGGACGCAGCGATAGATGCCTTCTCAGTTCTGATCTCATTTCCTCAGCTCTGGGGACGAGGTTGAGGAAGGTGTTCTTTTTAGACTAAGTGAATAAACAGTCTTAACAGACACCTTGGATAGACTCCTCATACAATCTAGAAAACCTAGCTCCTGGCCACTCAGTGCTACACGGAGTTAAACTTTTACAAAGAGGTGGAATTGCCTCCTTTGGACAATGACACTTTGAGTTTAATTCAGAATGGAGCTTTGATGGAAGCCGCAAGTCACCCATTCCAACAATGCCAGTACCTTAGTGTTAAAGTTCCCAAGTACAAAGTCTATGTCTTGGCCCTTAGTTACACCTATGGCTTTGAAGAGAGTCCCTAAAAATGTTTTATACGCAGTAGAATTTTATTGTCCCATTTGTGTGTGTGTATGTGAGTATATCTCACAAAACATTTGCTCATTCAACATTTGCCCGTGCAGTTTAGTGATGTGGATTATATTATATTTATAATATAATTGTATATGTTATGATATGATGTGATATGATATTTATTATATTATATTTTATGTTGTCCAGTTATTGCCAATAATCTTTGTCTATGTGCATGACTCTGGTGGTGCTATGGTTAGACATTTAGGACTAGTCAAATGGTTGGTGGGTTTGAACGCTGAGGTAGGTGGATGAGGCAGTTGGCTTCTGTAAATATTCACAGCCTTGGAAGCCCTACAGGGCCGTTCTAACCCATCCTACAAGAGTGTGGAGTCCTCACTGGCGTGCTGGGTTTTGGGTTTGAGTTGAAGGGAATGGTGTAATGGTTAAACACTCACCTGCTGCCTGCGAGGTTGGTGGTTTGAACCCACTAGTTCCTCCACAGGAGGACAGCTGGTAGTCTGCTTCCATAGAGATCTCAGCGTGGGAAGTCCTCTGGGGCTGCCCTGTGCTCTCTGTTAGCCCAAATCCGTCCGTTAGCCTGAATGGTTAGCCTGAATCAGCTCATTGCACATAGTGGATTTTTTTTGTCCATGCAAAAATTACCATACAGCTTAGTTTCTAAATGTTAAACTCACCGATATATAAATGTTATACACACAAAATAGCATTTGTTGGAAGGGACTCTGGTGGCATAGTCTGCAGGGAGTTACCCTGTTAACTCAAAGTTTACACTGCCCTGGAGGTTCGAATCCACCAGTGACTCCATAGGAGAAAGCACGCTCCTCCATGTGATTTACAGCCTCAGAAACCCAGTGGGGGCTCAACGCTGAGTCAGTTCTGACTCAAAGACGATGAGAGAGAGAGAAATTGCTAGAGGTATGCTTTTACTGCAGAGCCAGTGTGTTGCAAAGCTAGGGCTGAGCTTGGCTAGACTTACCTGCATATTCCTTTGGGTTTTAGGCTTCCTTTTTCTAAGAGGGAGGTGCCTGTGGCCAGTGGGTCTGGGTTCATCGTGTCTGAAGATGGGTTGATCGTGACCAACGCCCACGTGGTCACCAACAAGCACAGGGTCAAAGTGGAGCTGAAGAATGGCGCCACCTATGAAGCCAAGATCAAGGACGTGGACGAGAAGGCGGACATTGCCCTGATCAAAATCGACCACCAGGTAAGCGCCTTCCCACTGCCCCAGTCACACTGGCAAAACCTGAGGCTGTCCGAGGGAGCAGGAACCTTCTGACTCAGGATCATCTCCAGGGAGGCACTGGAGCTGGAGAAGGGAGAACATTGAAGGGGTAGTTAGTGTGGCCCAGGGAGGGGTGCGCCTTAGAGGCAAGGATGGAGATGCTTCCTCTCATGTACTTTGGACATGTTCCTGGAGAAGCTATTCCTTAGAAAGGAGTGTAATGCTTAGAAAGTTTTAGCTTTTTGAGGTGATGATTTACAGGGTCCGGGGCCATCCTTCACATGCGCACAGCTGCTTTGACAACAAACTGATCTCCGGGAAGCGTGCTTTACAGGATTACTAGACGCACAAAGGTCTGTACTTCAAAGAGTTTTAGAAACATTGAGTTGGAACAAAGCTCACAGGCTCTTTCCTCAAAGGACTTTTCAGAGCTTTTAATACGCTAGTGGGGATAAGGCTCCTTCACAAAGGAGGTGCAGAGTATGCGATATTGCTCCAGGTTGTCTGAGTAGAGGACCTGTAGAGGGAGTTTATTGTAAACTCATTTTGAGACCCTCGCAGATGGTCAGAGGAGAGGAAGATGCTCATGAGAGGCGCTCACAGGAGGCTGAAGCAGCGAATTTATGCCCAGCAGAGATGAGACGGTGGTCGGGGGTCAAGTTTATGCCCAGCGGAGATGGGAAGGTGGTCGGGAGTCAGGTTTATGCCCAGCGGAGATGGGAAGGTGGTCGGGGGTCAGGTTTATGCCCAGCAGAGATGGGAAGGTGGTGTGGAAAAGGCGGTGCGGTGTGGGCAGAGTTTCATTCTCCTGTTTTGGGGGGCCTCTGTGAGTCAGAGCTGGTTCAGTAGCTCCTAACAACTTGAAAATGGCTCATTCTCTACTTAAATACTCTCTAGATTGTCATTCTCACTCTGTTGTGTTGGACAATGAAATCTGAAGTGCAGTCTTCCTGGCTTATCAGGGTCCCCCAGTTGGGGCCAAGGTGCGGGAGCTTTCGTGGCTGTGTGGCCAGTGCAGTGAGGTTGCAGCGTCTGGTTTCTTGACAGCCTTGTAATTCTCCAGACTTCCTAGGGAATGGGATAGACTCAAGGTCAGATTTTAGTTCTTGCTGATTTTCTTTCATTTTCTATAGCTTTAGTTTGAACTTGCATATGAGTAGTTGATGGTCTCTTCCACAGTCAGCACCTGGCCTAGTTTCCACAGCTGATACTGGTCATCTCTGGTGATTGTTTGTACAGATGTAATCAGTCTGATGCCTGTGCAGACCATCAGGTGAGGTCCATGTGTATAGTTGCCGTTTGCGTTCTTATAAAAGGTGTTTGCAATGAATAAATCACTGATTGTACAAAATTTTATCGTTTTGTCTCCAGCCTCATTTTTGTCACCAAGTTTTCCGACTGCTGATTCTTCTGTGTTCTCAGCTTTTGCATTCCTGTCACCCATTATTATTAATGTATCTTGGTTGCGCATTTGATTGTTTTCCGACTGCAAAAGTTGGGGAAATCCTCTTTCCTCCTCTTTGGCTGTGGTTGTTGGTTCATTTATTTGAATGATAATGGAATTAACAAGTCACCCTTATATGCATATGGATATTATCCTGTTGTTCACACAGTTGTATCTCAAGATGGACCTAGAAATGGTCTTTTATATTGTGAATACAACCCATTTTTTGTCACCTTTTCATTTCTGTCATAGTAGATCATATGCTTGTCTGATTGTCCCATGCCAATCCATCTCATTTTGCTAATGTTGGGTCTGTCAATACTTATGCATTCCATTTCTTTGTTAAAAAATTATATTTATGTGTGTGTGTGTGTGTGTGTGTGTGTGTGCGCGCGCGCGCCATCAAATCGGATCTGACTGGTACAGGAGGATATTGTTCCTCCTTCTTCAGCAGTGCATCTGGTGGATTCGAACCACTCACCTCTGGGATTGCAATGCAGCTTCTTGCCACTAGGCCACCAGAGCTTGCCGCGCATTCCATTTCTTAACAATATCCAATTTTTTGCGTTCATGCCTCTCACATTCCATGTTCGATCACTAGTGTCCACTTGTGACTCTCCCTCCTCCTTTGTGTTTCCCCGCAGAAGGGCTCAGCCCCAGGCACCGTATCTGCTAGTCTAATCTAAGTCTGCTCTCTCCGGAGGCTCAGGTGGGTTTGGAATCCTGTTACCACCAAGATCTCAGAGTGAGGACAGGAGGGGGCTCTGCCTGCATATCGGCTGGGAGTCAGGCAAGTGTGGGGCTGCCCACGCTGACCGCACGTGAGATGCTCAAGACAAGTTTTTTGGGGACAACTTCCTTCTGGCTCTGCGTGGACTTGGACCATGGAATCCTGTTGGATCTGGTCTCTTCTTTCTTCCTCCCCCCACCCCAGTAGTGCCAAGCTTGCCACCCTAGCCTTTCCGAAAACCACCATGCAATCCACGTACCCCTGCTTCCTTGCCTACGACTGTTTCCCCCAACCTCCTGGTAGCTGTGTGGGGAGGCCGAGCCTGGGTACGACGGGGAGTGCAGAGAGAGGCTGTGATTCTGGTGTGCGTAACTATCAAGGTCACGTTGTTCTCTATTTCTGTTAGGTTACTGTGGAATTTCTAGCAACAACCAGTGTTCCAGCATGTGTTTATTAGCCACGGTATAATGGCAGGAACTTCTGAGCGGTGAGCTCTGCTCAGATGCCTTCCTCTCTAAGGTTCTGCAAGATCGTCATATTACCCTCGTCGACCGATTCTGTGGTGGGGGCAGTTGTGCTCTGCACTAGAAGGTTGAGATGAGGCGGACTCAGCTCAATAGCAATGAATTTTTAATCTGCAAGGTAATTGTCCCATTGAGAAACCCTAGGAAAGGGCAGTTCTACTCTGTCACAGAGCAAGCTCTGGTGGCTTACTGGTAAGGAATTGCTCTGCCAACACACATAAATGTGGTTCACATCCATGAGCTGCTCCACGGAAGAGAGATGGCAGTCTCCTCCCATGGGATTTACTGCCTCTGAAAACCCACTGGAGGGACAGCTCTGGGTCGGTGTCAGCTCGATGGTACATAATGATGACTCTGTGGTGGAAGCCATAGAGGGCTGCTGTGAGTCTGGGCTGGCTTCAATGGTCCAGCAGCGTCGAGGAAGAGCCTGGCTCAGGGAGCATTTTATAGCTCTTAAAAGACAAAGAACAAGAAAAGATAAGATCAGTCTCATTGCTCTTGAGAGGATCCAGCCTCTCAGGGACCCCATGCATGACAGAGTAAAGCTGCCCCCGAGGGCTCTCTTGGCTGTAATCTTTGCAGAAGGGGATCACCAGCCCTCTCTTCCGCATCACTGAGTGGGTTCAAACCAACCACCAACCTTGAGTTAATGTCATTCGTAGGTGCCATTGAGTCAAGTATGACTCATATCAACCCTGTGAGCAACAGATCTGAACCCTGTTCTATCCTGCGCCATCCCCACAAGCTCAGACACACTCGAGCCCATTGCTGCGGGTACGGTGTCAGTCCACCAGGTCGAAGGTCTTCCTCTCTTTCACAGTCCCTCCACCTTCCCAAGCACGATGTCCTTCTCTAATGAATAGCCTTTCCTAGCGACATGTCCAGAGTATGTGAGGCAAAGCTTCCCAGTCCTTGCCTCCAGGGAGCATTCTGGCTGCTGCACCTTCACTGAGACATGCATGTTCCTTCTTCTCCAACACCGCAGTCTGAAGCCATCCCCTAATTCTTCTTCTGTGATCCTTATTCGTTGACCAGCTCTAAGCAGAATAGCAAGTGATTGAAAAGACCATGATCTGAATCAAGCGCACCTTAGTCCTCAAACTAACATCATTGCTCTTCAGTAATTTTGAGAGATCTCTGACTGCAGACTTTTCCAGTGCAGTCTGTCTCCTGATCTCTTGACTGCTGAGACCAAGTGTATTGATTGTGGATCGAGGTAAGATGAAGTCGCTGACAGTTTCAGTCTTGTCTCCATCTGTTATGAGTTGAGCATGACCCATGGGCTCCACCAGGCTCTGACCTGGTCTCTGCCAGTGACTTCCTTGCAGTGCATAGGGAGCTGTGACCCAGAGGCCACACCCCTCTGGCAAGTTCGAATTTGCCATCAGCTCCCTGGGAAGAAGAAACCCCCGGGAGGACCATAGTCCGTCAGTTTCAATTTGACCACAGTGAGCACTTTTCATTCTCTCTTGGCCGCACTACACTGCCCTGCCGAGCAGAGTGCTGAGGTGAAGGGGACTGACCGGTAAGTCGTTTCACCTCTCACCTTGGATTTCCCCAGCTGCAGCTTGTCATGACTCTGTGAGCTGGTGTCCGTTAGAGGACAGCTATGTGCTTGGGACGGGTCCTCTCTCTGGGAAAGGACCAGCAAGCTGCAGCTGGGACCCTTCTGGGCATTTGGGAAGGTGCCTGGCTACAGGTGGCCTTGGGGCCACAGGGCGAAAGGCGTGGAGAGCTGCTCTGGAAGGTTTGAGACCTGACAGGTCTGTAATAACAAAACCACAATTCAGCACCTGTAATGACCCTTAGGAGAGACCTGGGGACAAGGTGGGGTGGCTCCAGTAGGAAAAACCCACCCTGTTCTCCTCCCATTCCCTCTGTCTCATCTGCTCACTCATGGCACTTGCTTTCTTGTCATTTTTCTGTTTCCCATGAGATATGACTTGTGTACAACAAGGTGTGCTGATCTTGAGGGCCTGTCTGCCTCGCTTTGAAAATGCTTCTTGTTGCCCAACACGAGCAGAACCCAGAGGGTTCTCTCTGAAGGTGACCACTCCTGACCTCTGTCACCAGAGCTCTGCTCATTCTAGAAGTTCCTGTCAGTGGAACCTTCGGCGTGGCATGCACCCTTTGTGTCTGGCTTCTTTTGCTCAGCACAGTGATACTCGGCCGGCCGTGTTTGCAGGGCATCAGCAGTCTGTTTCCATGCTGAGTGGCATTCCATCGGGCGGATGCCCCACAATTCCCCCATCCATCTGGTGCTGGACTCTAGGTTGCTTCAAGC